AGAAGAAAAATTCATTTCTATTTTTTTAAAAATCAGGTTGTACCCCACACATAAAACTGTGTTTAAAAAATTATTTTAATGTGGTATAAGTATTACAGTTTCCTGCAGTTATTTTTAAATAAATCCAAATCAAAGAAAAATTTTTCGACATGAATTGAATTCTTAAAATGAGTGGAAACAAAAGTCTTTGTAAATATGGAAGGGTGGAGGGGGTGAAGGGAGAACAGGGGAATGGGGAAAAAATAAGAACCAAGATACATCATACACAGGTACAAGCACCCAATGATGAATGTAAACATATTGTATACCTAAAATGTACCAATAAAAAATTAAATTAAAAAAAGTGAATACAAGAAAAATCTCTAAGACATTGGTTAGTTATTTTTTTTTAAAAAAAACGATAACAGTCCGTACAAATTCTGGTGTAAATATGTTGTACTCTATGAGGGAATTAATGTAAATTTATATTTGAAGAGATTTTTGTACAAAAATCTGTATAATACTTAGAAGGTTATAAGTCTTTAAAATTAATAGTTAATTAGCCTTTCACAATTTTTAGTAAGTAATTGTGTGTGTGTGTGTGTGTGGATTCCGTCAGATTTTGAAAAAATTTAGAACTTCTGTCTTAGAAGAAGCTATAAAAGTGGCAAAGATGAAATACCCATAACAAATGTTTAACATCTGTGAGGAGGATATTGAAATGGTTCATTGAGAAAATGATTAACTGATTAACTAGGAAGAAGAAAACAGTCCGAGTATTTTGGATATTCAGTTATGATCTTTATATTTTATTCTGGTTGGAAAATAAAAAAGAAACACAAAATTAGTAGGAAGAGAATCTGTGTGCAATAGAGAAATCTGTAAACTTATATAAAAAAGCCTTTCTAACCAAAAGGATTTCTGTTAAATCACACAGTAGAGTTTTAAGGTGGCAAAACTATTTTCAACAGTATAAATGAGTAAAATTGTGCAAGTCTCTGCAATGCGAAGAAATTGAAAGTCTTTCAATAAGTAAAACAGAAGCCTAGAATTACACTAAACATAAATGTAAGTAAGCATTCACGAACTCATTTTCAGCATGTAGGCAGCTTTAAACTTAGATATGAATAATATATTTTAAAAAATAAATTAGATGTCATAAACTTGACCTTAAAAAGTATGACTAAATCAAAAGTCAAAAATTTTGTCTTATTTTAAACTTTTTAACTTGAAAAAATTAATCTTGAGGAGTTGGTTTACATATCTAACACAGCTTTTTAAAAATTTTTCAATCTTTCTCTCCCCTGCAAAAAAAATGATTTCCCAGGAAGGTTGCTTGCCTACCTATCTGCCTTCTGCTATTACTCCTTCAAGAAAGCTTTATTAAGTGTCAACTATGTGCCAGGCATTATCTTAGAGCTATTCATATAGAGGTCATGGGAAGGAGATGACTCACTAAGGATGGATAATAAATAATAGAGATAAATGCTGATGTTATAGAGATAAAAGAGAAGCCATGCCTTTAGGGCAATCACTTAGTGCAGACAGGTAAGAGGACATACAAGTACAGTACATTACCATACATTCTACAGGAGAATGATGAGAACAATTTAAGTAATTTTGGAACCCTAGATGAGAGAAATTTAATCTCCAACCATCAGATATAACTGCAAGGGGGGTATTATCATGGCAGATATCTGGAAGAAGGTAGCATCTAAGTGGACTTTAAAGAATTAGAACACACTGGCCCACTGAGAAAGGAAATGAATTTTCATAAAATTGAACACACATAAATATAAGATGACTTGAAAAGTATAGAAAATTCAAAACTTGATTTGGATGATGGAATGGCCAAGATGAGTTTAGAGAATTTGGAAAGACAGATCAAAATGCGTAATTCTGTTGAGAAATAGTGCAGTTGTTTCCTGACACACTGATGATATTATCTGTGTTCCTTAATGTGGCATCTAGACATCTAGACTGTTTCACAGAGTGACTTCACTGCTTATCCCTGTGACTCCTCTTATCTCCCAGTGCAGCCTCTTGACTTGACCTTTTTGTTTTCCCCTAGGAGTAGTCTGGATTCCTTTAATACCATATGGAAGTCAAGGACCAAGTGAGACACAAATTTCCTTTGTTCCTCCTACTTCTTTATTGGTTTCTTCATACCATGGCTTTAGTTTTACTCACTGCTTAAGACCTATGCACGTGTTAGGTCACCATGCACAGTGGACAAGAGTATACTACTCAGAGTTTTACATGGCTCCAGAACAATAAAGCTCATTGCTTTCAATTTTTCCTTTAATGTGCAAACTCCCATGAAAATTCACCTCAAAAAGGACATGTGTACCACTGTGTGCCTATTCCCATCTGTCAGACTTCCTGAAACTTTCACAGCTCCTTGAGGGAGAAAGGAATGTGTTTCACCTTTTTCTTTATTTCAAAGATTTTCCTTGTGTTATGTGTTGTTGTAGGGGAGGTAGAACTTTACCCTGTTAGGGTGCCAACTGGGCCAGAGAATTAAGTGAATAGAGAAACAGGGGAGATGTACACCAATTTAATCTAAGTTTTATGTGACATGCAAGCCCTTATAAGAAAAAGAAAACCCAAAGATGTGAAAAAAGCCAAAAGGCTTTATATTAGATTGGACAAAAATATGCTACTGTGGAAAAGTATGTGGGAAGGCTAAAATAAGATAAGAATTATTTTAACAATTTCTTTTTATATAGAAATCTCTTGTTAATAACTCCCTGTTGAAGAATATTTTCCCCTGGTACAAGAAAAGCATGCTTCACATAGGAGGTTTTGTCTCTTGTTTTCAGGAAGAAAAGGGGAGATTAAAATCTCTTTTTTGCATCTGCTGCTTTTCAAGTGCCTATAGCTCAGAAATAATCCTTATACTTAAGTGGTGTAATTTTGGGGAGCGGTGCATTTTCTTTGTCTTTCATGAGTTTTCATACATCCTTGGATTATTGGATTCTTAACAGGCAGTTTGACCAGATATGGCCTCGTTGTATTTTTGAGAGCTTCAAGAAAATCTATCTTTTGGCAAAGCTTTTTGTTAAAGTCTATAATCTTATTGTAGTATCAACATATTATTTTATACTTTAAAACCTGAATATTGACTCTTTCTTCACCTTTGCATTCCTTATTACCAATCTTGAGCCATGGTGAGGCTCCTTGAGGCTCAAATGAATAAGGATGAAGCTAGTAAAAAGAAATACAAAAGAGAAAAGGTATATTCATGTTGTTCTGTGAATATTACGCATTGCTAATGCTATGAGGATGGAAGGAGCAGAGCAGCACCTCAAGATCTTGATTTTCGGATAATGAGATGGAACCTTTCCAGGACCTACAGGATAGAATTTTAGCAAGGAAATTGTTACTATAAAATAGGACAAGAGAATTAATCACAAAATGAAGCCAGGAAATAGAAGAAGGCAACAAAGCATGTAACAGAAATGTTAAAGAATACTCACACCTTTCTTGAGTATTTTACTTACATCTGTAATTTATAGAATAGTTCTCTTGTTTATATTTCTTCTGAGAAGTGATTTACAGGAGAGAATTACCAGATAAATTGGTATTCCTTAACTAGATATGGTAGGATGCAAGGTACACATTGTTAATTTGGCATGATTTCGTACATTTTAAAATGGGTATATACAAATTTTAATTTGATTTTTGACAATACTAAAGATATCACAGACTTAAAACAAAACAAATTATATATAACACTTGACATTTTGAGCCCAAAAGCCTGTGTCCAATTTTTAATTAAAAAATCCAAAAGGGTAAATCTATATAGAGAATGTATAAAGACGAATACCAAATGATTATTTTGAAAGACTTAATATGAATATGAATAGAACACTTGAAGATTTTGTTAATGTGTAGCTACTGATTCAGCACCTCTGAGAGACTGCTTGAGATTTTGCATTATCATACATAATCCCTCAGAACACTGAACCTCTACGTGTAGGCTAGTCTTTGAACTGGAATTTAGAGCGCTATCTAACTCAATGGGCCTATCTGGGTTTCATAATTGTCTTGGTTGGTTTTGGACTGGTGTTTTTTCCAAATGAACTTTATAATTCACATATGTAGCTTCATGTAAAATTCCCCATATATTTTTATTGGAATTATGTTAGATTTTAAAGTCATGAAGCACTTGAAATATTTACAATATTGAATCTCTCCACACATTCTCCAGTTATCTAAATTTTTTAATATACGTCTGTAAGATTGGATAATTTTCCATAGAGCAGTCTTGCATATCTTTTGTGAATTTTATTGCTCAAAACTGCATGTTTCTGCTATTATAAATGGGATCTTTTCATATTATTATACATTTTCATAGGGTGTTGCTGGTGTATAAAACCACCACCAACTTCTTCATTTTGAACTTTTCTGCCAAATTTCTGTTATCTCACCTATTCTAATGGGTTGTCTATATATATTTTTTGATTTTTCAATTTAGATAATTATTTACAAATAACAGTTCTGCTTCTCTTTTTTTTCTTACCCTGCTAACCCTTATTTCTTTCATTGACAAGATACTGCAGTACAATGTTGATTTACTCTTTAGTGGTAGTATACATTGGTTGTTGCTTATCTTAATAGTGATGGAGCTATTAGTTCCTAGAACATATACAATTATTTTCTACCTGAGGAATTCTCACATACTATTTTCTATGCCAGGGATTCAATTTTGTTCATATTCTTTATATGACTGTGAAATTACTAGAAGTAGAGTGGAAGGGGGAGCTCAGCTACTGGAGCAATGTAGGATCTCATTTTTCACAGGGAGAACTTCATGAAATATCAAACCCCAGTAAGGTAAAAGGGTTGGAGCTAGACAACCAGAAAGAGGCAAATATTACTGAAAGCCAAGACTTACAGCCAAAAATTACACTGCAAAGGAAACAATAAGAGAAATAGGTTAAAGTATTCCAGTCTATTTATTGGAACAAGTTTTGTTGTCTTATGACTTCCTTTTGTGTGTATGCCATAGTTGGGTGTGAGTGGGTTTGAGGGAGGGTGTGTGCATTATGTAATTATAGGTGAGGCACATCTAGCTCAGTGGGAATTAAACAGAGCAAGTCAGATTGAAACAGACAGAAAACTTTATTAGTTACTAAGGTCTCTGCATAGTATTATATATGTGCCATATACTTTCCTCATTTTGTGGATTTCTCATTTTTCCATTTCTTTTTCTTCCTTTTGGTATTCTTGAATATTTTAATACACACTTCATATCTGAGCATTTGACATATCTCTCAGGGGTCATATCATTTCATATTTACTTCTGGTCTATTATAGATTTCTACCATTGCCTGCTTTTCTCCTCTTCTCTTCTCTCCTCTCTTCTCCTTTCTCTCTTCTTTCTTCTCCCCACCTTCCTCACCTTCCTCCTCTTCTTTTTCTTGTTTATACAGATGTTGATTTCTGGGCAGGGGATTTAGCTCAGTGGTTCCAGCACCTGCCTTGCAAGCACAAGGTCCCAAGTTCGATCCCTGGTACCAAACAAACAAACAAACAAAAAAAAACAGATGTTGATTTCTTGTTCATGCTGACCTTAGATACAAATTTCAGCCTTGAAAGTTTGTCTCAGTGTTCACTTACCTCTTAGATTATAGAACAGAGATGGATTGGTTTTCAAACCTTGCAAGTGGAAACCCAAACTCAAGAAGTACATACTGTAGTCTCCTCCTTATCCATGGTTTTGTTTTCTACCATTTTCAAACTGGTGAACTACAGTTTGAAAATATTAAATGCGAACTTCCACAAATAGACAATACACAAGTTTTAAATTGTGTACCTCTCTGTGTAAGTGATGAAATCTCATACTGTCCTACTACCTCTCACATGAGACATGAATCCACTTTGTCCAAATACCAACATTGTATATGCTACCTTCCTGTTAGTTACTTCATAGTCTTCTGCTTTAGATTGATGTAGTATCACAGTGTTTATGTTCAAGAAATCCTTACTTTACTAAATAATGGTCCCAAAGTGCAAGAATGGTGATACTAAAACTTTGGGTATGCTGTAAAGTGCTTTCATTTAAGTGAAAAGGTGAGAGTTCTAGACCTAAGTAGAATAAAGATAGTACTGTACATATGGGGTTTGGTACTGTCAGTTCACACATTCATTGAAGCTTTCTGGAACATATCCTTTATATATAAAGGGATATCATTGTATATGTTAAAATTCAAAAGGCCTAACTTCATTTGATGTATTATGACTTTTATGGAAAAAAAGCATTTTACCTCAAAAACAAAAATCTCCAGAATAATATGGAATGTTATAGTACTTTAATTTTAAATACTGAAAACAAGAATATGTCACAATTTCTTTTAAGATATACATGAGTTTTTATTTGTATGAGACTTTCTCACCTTGTACAAAATATTCCTAATTTAAGTTTAAACCAGAGTCACACTTAATTTCATAGTAAAATGTCAACATGCTTAAAGTAGTGATCCTTGGAGGTTTGCACTTCACTGGACATATTTTGATGACAATAATATACCTAATGAAGGTAAAATAAATGTCTGCCCATAAGGGTTGGTGGTTGTAGCCATATCATTCCTAAATTGGTTTTGCAGTTTACTCTGTTACTATAGTCTCTAAATTTTGTCTTGTCTTGTTATAAATGTAAACAAAACATTTATACATGTATAGCCTATTTTATGTTTTCATGTGTTGAATCAAAGAAAGAAGCACATTCCTTCAAACATGAAAAGTTTTTCTGCTTTCTACATGTGGAATAAATTTCTGTAACATTGTCCATGAGATTGAAGTTGGCATTTTGTATCATACTATTACCTTTTCTGAAGTTCTACTATGCTTCTCTCTAATGTGTTCATTATTTTATCTATTGGAATATATTTATTAAATATTCACTAGGTATTAGTTGATGTGTTAAAAATATGATTTTAAGTAACTCAGCAAATTTGAAGTGACAGTGAAGAAAAGTAATAATGGCATAGGGATAATAATTATTATAATAAAGGTATATAAAAATTCTTGGAAACCAGGAAACAACCCAGGGGAAAGTCTGGGTTCACTATACTCAGCATGCATCTGTAATATATTTGATAATATTTTCTAAAGGGAACTGAGTATTATAAGGTGGTAACATGATGAGAATGCCATGTATAAAAGACCCTTAGAAATATGATAATGTTTAGAAATTTGTAAATAATTTATATATTTGGCGAAAAGATATTTGTAGATCCAGGCACAGGAAAGGGCTGGAGTAGGAGGATTTCCAGATGATGAAAGGCTAATTATTTTGTCAGAATGGAGTTGTGCTAAAGAATTTTTTTAGTAGTGATGTTATATGATCACAATGTGACTTTTTTTTCTTTTTCTTTTTGGAACCAGTCATCTGAACTGATTGAGTGGTAAAATTTGAGATATAAAAACCAGTTTGAGATCCATATGAGAAAAGATTAAGATCTGAACAATACTAGTAGCAGAGGAAATAGACACAAGATAATCAAATACTCAATTATCTATTAAATTGAGAGAGAGGTACATGATGGAAGTGAGAAATTTTAGATAAGTGAAAAATATATGGCCAATCTGTTGATGTGTTTGAAAGCTAGAGAATGCAGGAAGTTATATTTTTGGTTATATTAATTCTGACATTAGAAATGAGTTTAATATGGTTTTGAGGCAGTCTATAAAAAGTTTGGAACACAGGACAGTAACCTGACTTCTTGACACTGATTGGAGACCTATTATTACATGGGTGATAATTGAAGCTTTTTTGCTGGGATGCAATTATATGAGAATAACATGTAGTCTGAGATGAGAAGAGAGCTAAATTGAATACAGCTGCTGTAGCAATATGCCCAAAAATTAAAACATAGAAGTATCCACTAGGTTTGCTGACTATAACATTGCCTTTGGGAGGCAAATTTAAGTAGAATTACTGAAGGTAAAAACCAGCTATGATATAGATAATGATATACTGATTGATGGAAATCATTGTAACGCTTTGATTTTAAGTGGTCCCAAAATTAGTTTAATAAATGAGTAAATTGCATGGAATGAATAGAGAAATTATATTATGCTTTATACTAATGTCCATAGCTTTTTTTTTGTCTATGGTTGGTTTTCTGGACTACTTCTTTATATTTATGTGTTCCTTGAAACATAAATTAAGCATTTATATTTGATACCTGTAGACGTCTATGTTTGTAACCATATCAAAAGTTGTGCTCAGATGCCTTTCAGCATTTAAATTCTCACCTTTTCAAATAATATAATTTTACTTTCTTACTGGATTATACTTGAGAAAATTGAAAGGGCAAAGATTTTGAAAAATTTCTAATAGCAGGACTCAAGTTCTTATGTTAATACATAATTTTTAAAATTAAAAAAAACCAAAATAGCCACCCTCAAATTGACTGAGTTTTAACTATATTGTGTTTATAAAGTATTTACATAATAAGTCATATAATAATTTCAGTATATGACAATTAGGAGATACTGCTTTAGAATGATCACATTCAATAGCACATGATGTTTTTTCACTCAGAATAATGTATGCCCAGAATAAATATGCCCAGAATTCAGAGAGAGAGAGTTTTAAGAGAGTTGAATATAAAGCAATCTCTTGTAATTTGATTAACATGAATTTTGGGGGGGCCAGGGAAGAATGTTATGGTTTTTATCTAGATATCTTGCCAAAGCTTCATGTGCTCAGAGTTGGGGCTTTGGGGAGATGATTTGATCATGGGGGTGTGATACTCATCAGTAGATTAAGAAGAAATGAAAGCAAAAAGAGGTAAAAAATATGCCTGATGTAGTTTGTGGTATCTATTACTAGTAGAAGTACAAGCAACTCTTTAATTTAGAAAGTATGATCCCATTGTTTGTGTTTTTAACAAGTTTTTTATTCTGCATTTAAAAATTATTGCTGTAGAATTTCCTTTGTATTCTGAGTAATTACATTTATATGATTCTATAATTTGCTACTTATCTTGTATCTCCTAAATAATTTTATTTCTTTTAAAGGTAGGCATTTAAGTCCTTAATATTTATCATTGTGTCTACTTACAGCAAAGGGAACAAAATACTATGAGATGAATGATAAAGTACTGGTTACTGGTTATAGCAGAAGATAATGATTTTTCTTTGAAATATTCCCAGACCTGTCAGGTATTTGGAGAAGCACATATATCATATGTCATATATGGTAACATCATGGTAAATCACAATGATTCTCAGAGGGATATGCATATATTAATAATTCTTTATATGCCACAAGTTCTGAGTCACAGGGGTGAATTGATACAGCACAACTAGCCTCCAGGGACTAGACTAATTTGTCTGACACATTACTGCCATTGTTTGTTATATAATATCATTGAGAACATTTTCCTTAATAACCTTTGCTTTGTGAAAGTCTCTACTGCCTAAGATTCATCTTTTCACTTTCTTTAGGTTTTTTTTATTATATGAAATTGTGTGACGTGGTTGAAAATATGTAAGCAACATTGCACTGACCTCATTCTCCCCCTGCTCAGTGTACAAATATGGTAGGCATAGATTACAAAGCATTATATTCACACAAAATCACAAACAATTTGAGTATGATTATCATCTTTCTTTTGTTTTAACATACTGAATTTTGATATGATTTACCAAGATCCCAGAATATACCACAGATGTTTCCAATATATATCCAGTAGCCTTATTTGGGCTCTGTTGTTTAAAGTTTAAAGTTGTTCATGTCCTGTTAAAATTCATAAGTGTAAGAGGATTTAAATGTTCAAAATTTTGCAGGTGGCTTTCAAATTTAGTCACTGAAGTGTGAAGCTGTTACCAAGGAAACATATTGCAAATGTTAGTAAATTTTTTATTTCACTTGCTCTGTTCATGTCTCCATGGTTCATATGTTCACTCAGCCCATTTTACAGAGTGCTGCTGGCAGTTTCCATCCCTATTGCTTAAAAATGCATTATAACTTCACAAAGATCCAGGCAAATTTGCTTTGGAAAAAATCCTTTTGGTTTTTTTTTTTATTTTCAAAGAGAAGGCAACAATTCAGAGATCACATTAACTGGAAATAGTTTCACCAACTAAAAATACTTGGAGTGATGGAGTTTTGAGAACAGCAAATAATAAAACAAGATCAACAACTGTAATGGTAACAACAGTTAGAATAAATTATAAGAAATAATTTAGATAGTTGTAAATTTGAATGTCGATAATTTTGATAACAATCTGATTAACATATTAGGGATTAGAGTTAAAGTTTGTCTTACAGGAAGACTTTTTATGTTTTTATCTCTTTAACCATATTAAAGACTTACTTTAAAAACTTATATTGTCATTCATATTTTCTTGTACTGTCAACTTCTCAAGGGTTAAGGCATGTGTGAGAATTGTGAATTCTGACTGAGGGAAGTGTGTGATCCAAAGGAAATGCATTATTGTCTCCATTTTGTAAAGGTAACATAACTCATTTTAGTATACAGGGGCTGAGGAATAAGGA